TAGATGAGCTGATTGATTTGTTTAGGTTTGATCAAGGGCAGTTCAGCGTCAAATCCCAATGATGTGGTAACATTTATACTATTTGTCATTGGATTACCATTTTTGTCTTTAGGATGACCATGTAATTTCCAGCATGTGTCTTGATTGTGATTTCTCCTTTTACAATAATCACAGTACATTTCCTTACCCGATCGAGACAATCCTAAGCCATGGATCCATTTTGAAAATTCCCAAAATATGAGCCATTGGATGGATTTCCAAAATGTTGACCTCCAAAATTTTGACGATTTTGACCTTGACGCTATTGACCTGATTGACTGCTTGCTGGCCGTTGGATTGCTTGGAATGATCTTGGCCATTCATTCCCTTACATAAAAATTTTTCTTTTTCCTTTTCATTCACAAACCCTAGTCATAGCTACCCTTTTTTATTCTCACCTCTCTCTGCGACAAAAGCCACGGAATCACCCAATCGTGATGATTCCATGGAGGCCAAGCATTGGCTTTCATCTTGTATAGCCAATTAGTCTAGGCCAGCATCTACATGTGAAAAGGGCAAAAAAGCTTTCGTTTAATCCAAGAAGAAAGTGGATCAAACGCTCTTGCTCTTTGAGTTTTTGAAATTGTTGCAAGGTTTCTGGTGGGCCTTTTTGTGGCTAGGCAACGGTGTCGAGCTCATTTTAGACGGTTGATAGCCGATTGTAGCAGACCATGAGGGTTTGGTTGTGTTGTTTGATTTCGGTAAGACTTTGCCGAAGTGTGAACAATTTGGCTAGATCCAACTGTCCATACATTTCCTTAATAAATCGTCATAGTTCCTCAGCGATTTTTGTTGGTGGCAAACCAAGGCAACCTCCTAGGTCAAGGAGTTGTTCATCCACAAACGAACTAGCATGTTGCATTTGGTCCAACGGTTGTGGAGATGAGGCTCAGTCGACGATGCTATGGTGCCATCAATATAACCATCTTTGTCTTTGGTGATGCGAGCTCACCGAAAATCGCAAGCCCATGTCACGTAGTTCTTGGTGCCGGTGAGAACTTGTTTAACTAGAACAAGTTCTAGTCCATTGGATGGTGAGAAGTATAGGGGATCGCCAAGCTCTGGCCGGCGTTGGTTGGGTTGCACGATCTGGAATTGGAAGGGATACGGGTTTGGGCCAGTTTCAACCAAAAACCAGAATGGATATGTGTTTGGGCTGGGGCTGATTTGGTTATTTGGGTTGGTTTGCATGTTTGGGTCAGTTTGGTTATTTTGGTTGGTGTGCATGTTTGGGCCGGTTTGAGGATTGGGGTTGGTTTGTATGTGTGGGCCTGTTTGGCTGTTCGAGTGTGGTTCTGTTTGGCTATTTGTTGAATCTAAGCCCATGTTTGGTGTGTTGGGCCCACTCGGGGTTGATGATGGGTTTTGTTGATTTTGGTTTGGATCCATTTTTTTTTTTTCTAAGGAACTAATCCAAGAGTCTGTTTTGCAGGGGAACCAATAATAGAGGGCATGATTTGGATTAGTGAAATTGAGCGACAAGGAGAGGATTTGGCTAGAAGGCCTGCTTTGATACCATGTAAGAATTTGGAACTAGAGTAGCAAGAGAGGTAGTTGGACTACTGAAGTATGCTAGGAAGAAGACTAGAAAGGCAAGAAAAGCGACTTAGTTGCTGAGTATGCTAAAAGAAAATAAAAGAGCAAGAAAGTAGAGAGAAGTATTTTGTATTTCAGATTGTATATTTCATGTACAATATGTTTACATGTAAGGAAACAAATAAAGAGAAATAAATACAAATCAATACATAGAAGGCAATAGTATGACTCTAGCTAATCGTACCATAATCGAACCATATCAAATCTCCCAAATCTTCTTAATATGGCGCATATAATTACTCAAATGTCAAAAGTTTTCGAAATAGATTTAGATAAATTTCTGTAACGCGGATAATATGTCAATTTTTTAGAGTAATGCTACATGTACAAACAAATTTTACAAAATTTTGTGTACAAACTGATGTGACACAAAATGAATGGAAGAGTGAATATGATGATTTTGACTTTTTGTATTCACTCTTCTATTCAGCTTGTGCCACATCAGTTTGTACACAAATCTTTGTATGATTTATTTGTATATCTAGTATTATTGAATTTTTTATGCTGTCGAAATCAAATGAAGTGTATAAGCTTTTCAAAGGACAAGGTCGACCACTACAATTGAATGAAAGATTGAGACCAATTCAATTCTTTCAATTATTTTGCTTAAGCTTTCAATTGTGTAATCTTAATATTTATTTATATTTAAATTATTATGTATTGGAAAAAAAATTTATTTACTTATCAACTATCCATTATTATATATATACAAAACAGAAATTTAATTTATAATTAGAGATTTTACTCATGATAAATATTTTCTTGTGTGATAAATTTTAGAATATAAGGAACTTAAATTTCCAAATTATTCTATCATTAATTATTTTCAAAATGCAATACAAACTAGAGAACGGAAGAAAAATAGTCAATTAAGGATACTTTAGTTTGTGCGCATCAAGAATTTTGAGAATAATTTAATAAAAAAATTATGTAAAAAACTTAAAGAAAATTTTAAAGTGGAGGGTTGTAACGGTGGGTTGCTACGCTTGTCTATTTTGAAGATTAGTTGAAATATACGTAAGTTGGCCTGATGGTTAAAAAAAAAAAATTTAAAGAATTCAGGGGAGGCATTGGCCCATCTTGAGCCAAGGCTAGTTCTGCCAGTAAGGGTTATGATAAGTTTGACTTTGAGTAGGTCAATTTTGAAATAAGTCTGTCTTATTTATAATCAGATTGTTATAATCAATTCATTAAAAAATTTAAGTATATTCAATTTATTCTTTAAAAATTATTGTTATAATTCATCATATAAATTTACAATAATGTTAGAGGTTCAAAGAAATTTACAAAGATTTCTTGTACAAAGTGAAATGGTAGGAGATGAATAAAAAATAATTGAAATGGTAGGAGATTTCTTGTACAAAGATTTCTTGTACAAAGTGAAATGGTAGGAGATGAATAGAAGAGTGAATAAAAAATAATTATATTCACTCTTCTTTTCATCTACTGTCACATCACTTTATATAAAAAAATCTTTAGTAAGTTCTTTGTATACATAGTATTATCCATAAATTTATTGTCCAGAAATTAATGCCACATAAGAGATAGAAATAAAAATATTTAAATATTTTAAAATACAAAAGTATCGCTATTTTATTTAAATAACAAAAATAACAACTAAATCATGTGTGAGTTGGTTTCATTGTTTTCAATGAAAAATATTTAAAAACAAAAATAATAAAAATATTATAATGTTACATATGTAAACTATTTTTTACAGAGTGATGTGAAAATCTTACATAATTATTGTATTAAAACCCATCAATTTATATGGGTCAATTTGTATAAAAAAGTTTTTTATATTCAATATTATACGTTTTTCATTTTTGTAGATGCTAAACTATTTAGTTTAACTGTTGTAATTTGACTATTAAATGCTATATTTTATAAAATAATATGATTTAGTATAGTCTAACAGTGTATAAATCATTCAATATGCTAGAAAACAAGTCTTTGATATATTCGTTAAGAACAATTAAATCAATTTAAATAAATTTATGATGTATTTTTTTTTTCCCTTGAACCAAACCTTAATATATATATATATACATATATGATTATGTTTGTGAAGTATTTGAGATGATTCATTTATGGATTTAAAAAGAAAAAAAAAATAAAGACAATTTCAAAGCTCTTTAAGGAAAATTTCTTTCTATTTTTCAAATCATAATTTTTCCTAAAATAAAATTGACAATATTTCCTTCTTTAACAATAATCACACTCTAATGTGCATTCATCACACACAAATAAATCTCTTATTATTAAATTTAATATTAATATATTTTCTTTCAGTCATAGTCTTTGGTCAACTAGGGCCGGCTCTAAGGTTGCCCTTTTCAATAATTTATATTTTTAAAATTGAATTTCACATAATATTACCATAAATTAAATAATACATTTTTTTTCCCCACTTTTCATCTTTATTCTTTCAAAAGTAAAATTTAATTTCACGTCGTTTTTGTGTCGTTGGTTGTTCCATGCTTTTTCTCCCCTTGTGATTTGACTCCAACATTTAACCCAATTTTACTCTTCCTTCAAGTCCGCCCTGCTCTTCTATCTAGTACACCTGAAAATCTAGAGCCTTAAATCTCTCTCTCTCTCCTATTGGCGGACGCCAGTCCTCTTTCAAATCCAGTTTAATCAACCTCCCGCACGCGCGTTGTCACCGGCTCCGCCAGTCACCTCTTTCTACTTACTTACCAAACCGGTCACCTCTAGGGCCTTTCCACCTCCCCAACCGGTTCCCGAGAATTTCTAAGCTTTGTCTAGAGTTGAGTACTCTCATGTCGTTTGCTTGCCAGGACCAATTAAATCAACACACGTGTCGAAAGATCATCCGTCAGGTACGTGATGAGCTTGTCTTTCCAGAGACTTCTAGGGGCATATCAGGCTTTAAAGCGGACAACTTTAGAGATTTTTCCACTAATAACTGCCAGATCACTCTGTAGTAGCATTTAATTCTGAAACGTAAAAACACTCGATTACTCCCATCTAAAATTAACTTTCATGTAAGATGAATTTGGGTTGAATTTCCATAAAATTTGACCCCGAAATACGGTTAAATTATTACACACCCATCTACGTCGTCGTTTCGGTACCATCTAACTTCACACAACCGACCACTCCCAGGTCGCCACCTCAATAAACAAATAAGAAATGACACATAAAATAACATATTTATCCCCAGAACATACCGCGAAACATGACGCGGCGTGATGTGACTGGCGGATTTAAAAGTAGAAGAATAATAAAAAATCACACACAATCAAAATTCTCAGTGCGCTTGTCTTTAATAATTTTAGTTTTTCTCTTTCTTTCTACTATTGGATAGGCGATTTTATCAAAACACAAAAATTAAAATTAAAATAAAAAATCATTTTTTTAATTGTTAATTTATTTTTTATTTTTTTCCTTTTTTGGGTTCTCATGAGTCATGAAAGAAAGAAAAAAGCAAAACTTAGGAAATGGAGATGATGAAGAAGAAGAAGCCGAGTTCTCCTCTCTTCATTGCTTTGTCTTAGTTGAAGTTTGAGTTAAAGACTCCAAGATTAGATCTGAAAAGTAGTTTGAAGTTTGAAACTTTCTTTGCGCATGGCTTCTCTTTCTTTCTTTCTCTGTGTCCTGGTAACTCACTGGTAAGATTCGCTTTCATCATCTCTTCTTTCACTTGTTTGTGTACTTGTGATCACGTGCGTGTTCGTGCTGTGTCGATGAATACGTCGTTAAGAAGTTCACGCTTTTGATGTAATGAGTGTGTGAGTGATCACATGTGAGAAGATCTTTTGTTTTTTCATGTTTAGTTAAGAAATGATGAGAATGAATGATAAAGATTTGGTTTTTTCCAGATCTTCTATTACTTTGTAGTTGTTTCTTCTTTGGTTTTGAATGTGATGCTTTTGACTTGTTTTAGTTTAGATCGATTGTTTTTTTTTCTGTTTCTCTTTGGTTACCAAGAAAACTCCGGAAACTTTAGAGGGAAAATCTTCTCTTTTGGGGAAAATGAGAAGATTGAATATTCAATATTCAATAGCTTGATGTTGGTTATTTGGAAGCCTGATAAAGTAAGCTGATGAGTCTCAGTTTGTATGTATCTGTGTGTTGATTCTCTGTTTGGTTTGGGAGATTATGCAAGAAAGTGAAGGAAAATGCGTACAGGTTGCTTACAGAATCTAAGAAAACAATTCTGGTAGTCCTTTTTAGTTCTCCGGTTTTTGAGGTTGAACCGGATTTTGTTGTGTGTGTCTTGTGGTAACTACTTTCATACCAATGATGCGTGACTTAGTTATTCTGTTGTCTACATTTGGTGCTTCTTTACAATCAATTTGTCCTAAACTGTAAGTGGATATTAAACCTCCTAGATTTTATTTCACTTTCATACTTCATCGAGAGTCAAAACTGTAACTCATCTTTATTTTAGCATAACCCTGCCTCTCGTCAATATATTTATGTGTTTTTTTTTTTTTTTTTCTTTTTCTTTTTTTGACTTTTTATGCCGAGTTTATCTTTTTAGTTCATACATGAAATTTGTGTTTCTTCATGGGTTGATTTAGATGTTTAATTTCAGCTAGATTTTTAGCAAATGAAAGCATGTGCTGTGGACCAGAGCGGCTGAAGCTGACACCGCCTCAGACACCGTCTTTTATTTCTTTTGACGAAAATAGACACACCAACATAGACATGAATCACTTGACTGTTGAGACTGATGATACTTTTGCGAGCCTGCTTGAGCTTGCTGCTAACAATGACTTTGAGGGCTTCAAACGGTCCATTGACTGTGATCCATCGGGTATTGATGAGATTGGATTATGGTATGGTAGACAGAAGGGCTCAAAGCTGATGGTTAATGAGCAGAGAACCCCTTTAATGGTTGCTGCTACCTATGGTAGTATTGATATCATAAGACTGATTCTTTCCCAATCAGATGCTGATGTAAATCGGGCTTGTGGCAATGATAAAAGCACTGCCCTTCATTGTGCTGCCTCAGGTGGGGCTTTAAATGCAGTTGATGTTGTGAGACTGCTTTTAGCTGCCGGTGCTGATCCCAATTTGGTAGATGCAAATGGTCATTGCCCTGTTGACGTCATTGTTGTTCCTCCTAAGCTCCAAGATGTGAGATTGACTCTTGAAGAACTCCTTGCAACTGATGGTTCTATGGTTGAGCGTAATCTTAGGGTGTCAACTGCTACATCAAATTCAAATTCACCACCTCTTTCACCTTCTTTTGAAAATGGGTCCCCAACATTTGCTTCAGATTCCCCGGTGAAGTCTAAGTTAAATGATGCTCCTATTTCTTATGCATCAGAGAAGAAAGAATATCCTATTGACCCATCTCTCCCAGACATCAAAAACAGCATCTATTCTACTGATGAATTCAGGATGTACTCATTCAAGGTGCGGCCTTGTTCACGTGCCTATTCCCATGATTGGACAGAGTGCCCATTTGTTCACCCAGGGGAGAATGCTCGAAGAAGGGATCCAAGAAAGTTTCATTACAGTTGTGTTCCTTGTCCTGATTTCAGAAAGGGGGCTTGTAGACGTGGGGATATGTGTGAATATGCCCATGGTGTTTTTGAGTGTTGGCTTCACCCAGCACAATATCGAACCCGACTTTGCAAGGATGGTACAAATTGCGCTAGAAGAGTGTGCTTCTTTGCACACACTCCTGAGGAACTCCGACCGCTGTATGTGTCTACAGGTTCGGCTGTCCCTTCTCCTCGCTCAAGTACCTCTGGTGCTACAGCCATGGATTATGCTACTGCAATGAGCCTTTTACCTGGCTCTCCTTCATCGGTGTCTGTCATGTCTCCTTCACCATTCACTCCACCGATGTCTCCATCTGCTAATGGCATGTCACACTCAAATGTTGCTTGGCCCCAGCCAAATGTTCCGGCCTTGCATCTCCCAGGAAGTAACCTTCAATCCAGTCGCTTGAGATCTTCTCTGAATGCTAGAGACATTCCTGCTGAAGATTTCAATATGCTCCCGGATTTTGATGTGCAGCAACAGCAGCTCCTCAATGAGTTATCCAGCCTCTCACAACCATCTCTGAGTTCTAATTCCTTGAACCGTTCTGGTCGGTTGAAAGTTTTAACCCCATCAAATCTTGATGACCTCTTTTCTGCTGAGAGCTCATCTCCTCGTTATTCTGATCAGGCACTGGCTGCTGCTGTTTTCTCACCAACGCATAAATCTGCAGTTCTCAATCAATTTCAGCAGCAGCAGAGCATGTTATCACCAATCAACACGAATTTCTCTCCTAAGAATGTTGATCACCCTCTAATGCATGGTTCTTTTGGGGTGCCATCATCTGGAAGGATGTCTCCCCGGAATGTGGAACCTATATCTCCAATGAGTTCTCGAATGTCCTTGTTAGCTCAACGTGAGAAGCAGCAACAGTTTCGCAGCCTTAGCTCTCGGGAACTTGGCTCCAACTCTGCTGCAGCTGTTGGTTCCCCTGTAAATTCTTGGTCAAAGTGGGGTTCTTCCAATGGCAAGCCCGATTGGGCTGTAACTACAGATGAATTGGGTAAGCATAGGAGATCGTCTTCATTTGAGCTTGGAAATGGTGAAGAACCCGATTTGTCATGGGTTCAATCACTTGTTAAAGAATCTCCAACTGAAATGAAAGAAAAGCTAGCAACACCTGCCTCGGGTGTAGCTGCTGCCCCTTCTTCAGGTGAGGGTTCGGATATGAACCCCCAAATTGAATCAGTTGATCACGCAGTTTTGGGAGCATGGCTTGAGCAAATGCAGCTTGACCAACTTGTGGCTCAGCAAAATTGAAACCATTTTTACTGAGCTCTGAGACAGTGAACCAGAAACTTTTTGGTAAATAATGTGTTTTTTTGGGTCGAAGTCAATGGCGGATGTGCAAGATTAACAGAAACAGAAACAAGAAAGTGGAAGGAAGAAAGTAGTTTGAGAAAAGGGAAATTTATTTTCACCATTTATTTTTACAACAGAAGTTAGAAAGAAAGAGAAGGTGAGGAGAAACCTCTGGGTTTTATTCAAAAGATTAAGCCCAGGCTAGTTGTTATTTTTTTTTTTTTTATCTTTATCTTAATATCTTCAAATCCAAATTCCTATTATTGTCAAATTTTTTTCTTCTAAAAATGAGCAACATGCTCATTTACAATGAAAACTAAAAGCTATATGTTTGGTTTATCCTTCATTTTGTGCAATATTCATTATCATCTTTGGAGATTAAGAAAGAGAGGGAGGGGGTGATGCAGTTTCCAGAAGAGAGAGGTTATTTTGTATGGTTGGTGCATTTTTTGGGGATGACAAAAGGGAAATTTTGCTTCTTTTGTTGTAGTTTGGAATCAATAATTGTTTGGGGAAGAGAACAAACTAATGATCCTCTCATAATGATGTAACATTAAACTATAGTTTATTATTATTATTATTATTGTTATTCTAAATACCAATATCTTTATTACTATTATTATTTACTGCATTTAGTTGATTGTGTATATTGTAATGAAGTGATTTTGGATGGGAAGTAGTGATGTGGTGTGGTGGACTCCAAATCCCACTAATGGGAATTGGGGTTTGTGTGTGGAAATAGGTATTTATACAAATACAGAAGATTCTTCAATCTGGGTGGGTGGGCGGGCGGGCAAGATCACTTTTATATATATTTGGGAATGTGGGATTTTATCTTTGGGGGATCTTAATTTATGATGGTGGCCTAGTGGGTATTCTTCTTCTTCACACATTCAATTTCCTCGCGTGTCTAAAATTAGGTCCAAGTCCAAGTATTCCAACCAAACATAATTCTAAACTGAATATTCTTATTGTACTGTAGGTGAGGCACAGGCAGATAGAAATTCCATCATTTATTTGTCAGTAAATCTTTATTGCATGAAATATTGAGAGCTCATGAAGTGGTTGACCTTTCCTTTCGATTTGGGCAAGCTGAAATAATAATAATAATAATAATAATAATAAAGTGGACAATAGGTTGAAAGCAAGTCCATTCCCTCCTCCACCTTTCGGCGCCTCTACTTAATTTTTTTCCACATAAAAATAAAGAGTGTTGATGTGACTGGAATTTAATCAATCTTCTTCTTTTAATCATTCATCATCTTATACATTGAGAATTATATAAGGCATATTATTATAGACCCCCAAAAATAAGATTTTTTTTTTTTTGATAAATTTTACTAATTAGAAGGGAGACTTGGTATAAATTTAAGGCATATTATTATAGACCCCCAAAGGATTATTTAGTTTTTTCAACATGGATTATTTTAAGAAATTATTAAATACATTTATAATAGGATATTTTCAATAACTTTAGAGAGCATTTGATAGAATTAAACAACCCAATAGAGGGTCTATGGACCCAAAATTTATAATAAAGTCAATAAATATATTTGGTATTTATATTATGAAGTTATCATATATGTGACTTCATAATACAATAAACCTAAAATAAAGCACAACAAACATTAGAAAATAAAAGTTAATAAAGGAAAAAGAATGGAAGAAGAGAAGCAAAAGAGACGTACATAAACCCCAAGAGGTTGGTCTGACGGTTAAGAAGGTTTGCTCACTTAATTGAGTTTTTGGATTCGAACCTTGGGGCTATCAATCACATTGTGATTTATTTGGTTCTTTGCACTTGTAAGGTGTTCAATAGACTTCAAAGATTAATTGAGGTACGTGCAAACTGACTTGAATACTTCGATTACCCAAAAAAAAAAAAAATAAATAAATAAATAAAAGAGAGAGAGATATATACCTGAACACTCAGGTGACAAAAAAAAAAAAAAAAGATATATATATACATATTCATCTTTCATGCTTCTTCTAACTATTTCCCCCCACTTGCTCCAAATTAAAGCTTCTTATATATATATATGAAGAAGCATGAAAGATGAATACGAGTTTGTTTAATTAGGTTTGGACAGTGTCATATTCAGAAAAGGGGTTTTTAATTTAATTTAATTTGTTTGGTTATTGAAAATGATTTGATTGATTTGGACCCTTAAGTGACAATTAACAAAACAACATGATTCATCAAGCCAAAATAAAAAAGTTTTAACTTTGTGGTTTTACTTTGTATTGTAAAGGAGGTGATACTCTCTTTTTATAATAAGGTCATTATTATTATTATTATTATTATTATTATTATTATTATTATTTCACTTGATAAAAAAGGGAACACAAAAGAAAGAAAGAAAGAAGATGAGAAAAATGATTTTGTCATTGACAATGAGATTTTATTTTCAAGCTTTCTTTGAATTGTTTCCACTTTGTGTCTTCTCCTTATTACATTTATTAGTTTGAAGTGTTGTTTAAGTTTGATAAAGGCATTGTATTATTCATTGAAAATTAGAGGTTAAGACATAGAATAAACAATTTAATTACTAATCTAAAGATTTTGTTGCATCTAATTTCGATTGATTAAGGGGTTTAATGGGTTCGATTAATGAAATTTTGAGAAGAAATTAATCAAAAATCAAACTAATAAATTTACATGTAAGATGGTAGTTCATTCATATAGGGTAGCTTTAACTTGTCAAATATTATGGATATCTATGATAATAAATTAATGCTTATAGATATAATAATAATCTTAAATAGAACTTTCAAACAACAAATCCTAATTAATTTAATTGATTTGAGTTAATGGGATATAGGTTTGATGGGTAAGTTAGTTGGGCATTATAGATTTATTTAAACATTTTAAATTCTTAGAAGAAGCTTGATATTGGTAAGAAGATTTGCAAATGCCTTTGTAAGCATCATCCTTTTTCTAATTTTCATGTCTTTAAACTTCTTTAATTATGTCAACAAATGTACTAGTTGTTATGGTGTTATTTTCAGCCCAAAGGCCATCCCTTATTATTATTATTATTATTATTATTGCTCTATCTACTATTGTTGTTTCACATAATGAGTTGCATTTTACTAGTACATCTTGGTGCACATTCCATAACGTTTTTACTAAAATCGTTGGATTCATAATCGAAAATAAAGTCTTGTACTAAGCCTATTAATCTTACTGTATACATTAATTCGATAACATTATCAAATTAAAAAGAAATATAATTGGCACCATATTTGGACAAATTGTTGGCATTTTGAGAGATGTTGGTAATCATTTTGACCTAAAAAAACCCAAATGAAATCATTTGCATTGCAATTGAAATTAACAAGACGAAGGACAAGTTTTGGGGAAGCTTAGTCTAGTAAACTAAACTGAAATATCAGACTAAATAGTTAAGTTGGGAACTGTTTGGTGTGCTGGAGCCAATAATCATCGGACAGAGCAATTATACGGTTAGGTTTTGGTAACCAAATAATTGTCCTAAAAGAGGACTAGTATGAGTCTCCTTATTCCAACCACGTAGTTTTATTTATTTATTTATTTATAAAATATTTAATTTTCAAATGTAATTTTTATATCATGAGAATATACATTAAATTAACTACAAAATTAGTGTAAAAATTTATAAGAGGATAAAATGAGGAACTTATACCATGTTTTTCACCAAGTAATTAAAGGGAAAATAGTATGCAAGAATCTGGTGGACAAAATTGGGCCACAGTGAGATTCAATGCTATCAAGTATCTACTTCAGGGTTCATCTTGTGCAGAGGAAATATATCAAAATGCCATTAAGACTTGTGTTAAGACAGTTCAAGCTTAGGTTCAACCCCTAGAATCATCCCATTCCAATGCTTTTCTGTAACGATCCTAATCAGGTTCCACATCACTAAGGAATGACTTGCTGTGTGGGTTAATAGTCACCTGGACACCCTTCCCTTACAAACCGGTTTTAAGGATGAATTCTATCTATTTGTGGTTATTACAATTGGTATTAGAGTAAGATTACCCTCTAGTCAAACCTTGGGGACGACCCTCGTCGCGGATGGGATGACTAGGAGGTATAAAGTTTGGCAGCTGGACAGAGAATATCAAATATCAATGCTGTCAAGCTGATTGATTTGAGGCCTGTATAATTGGAAACGAAGCCGCCATACCAGAGGCAGCTTACTTCTGTAAACAAACATTAGTTATGAAATCATACGGGACTGTACAAAATTTTGAAGTTGAATTTGGGTAATAACATGATAATTTGGCTTGAAAGATAAAAATGATAATGCCTTCACATATGCTATCACTCTGATTCTGTCCACATAAACTGTTTGAAGGGAGCAGAAATGAAAGCAAAGGAATCATTCCGAATACTTTTTCCTTTCTGCTTAACCCAATAAGATGTTCTTCTGTAATAAGTCATGCAAATGAACAACATTTGGATTTAGGAAAATGAAAGAATACTAATTCCAGGCAGCAATCAGACCCTGAGAAAGCTCCAAGGTCCTGTTCCAGTTCCTACCCTGCAGATGTAGATATTCAAGTGTTAAGGGACTTTTCATTTTTCCAACTTAAGTCGAGGAAATTCTTGATGTAAGTTAAAAATATTTGTCGATAAGCTGTCTCTTCAAAAAAAAATGTAAAGGGAAGACATTTGATACCATGAAAAAGAAAATAAATGTTGTCAAAGAATGAAGGGAAAAAAATTGTTCCTTAGGTACCTTGGGAGTTGAGGCAAGTGTATAAACTTCTAAATCTTGAAGAATATAAGCTGTCAATTGAAAATCTTACCTCAAAAATCCAGTAAAAGTACGCAAACTCATATAAATGGATAAAGCAATCCAGATGCCAAAATAACCATGAGTTGAGGATAGTATGAACAAGCACAGGATGCTGATTACTGCCACCACAACCTGGGAGTGAAGAAAGAGAGAATTTAGGGAGAAATAAAGACACCAAGAATCAGATATAAGTGACCTTTAATAAGGTATACGTCTGAATGATTATTTTGAGAATAACAATATATACAACGAAAACATGAAAATAAATTAGATGTCTACATTTAATTGATTATTGTGTAAATGAAGATTATGCAAAATGAAGAAGTACAGAAGTGAAGCACTGACCATAGTTGAAACTCATTAATTGCCGTAACAGCAAACGGTTTTTACAAATTAAACTTACCATTGAGTAGGCAGAATATGCATAATCTGATGCTCCATAGTTGATGCCATCAAAAATGAAGGCTAACGCATTAATGGGTTGAGTCACTGCAATAAACTATTCAGCCAAAAGGAAAAAATTAATTCCAATACAATCTTTTATCCATTAAACGGAAATGAATAACATTCATTTTGTTAATTTGGGAAGGTAAAGAGGAATACCGGAATGGTCACACCTATAAGTTGCAAAACACTGACTTCTGTTGTAAATAATCTGGAAGCATAAGGTAACCCAAATATAATGGTGACTGAGGGCACTAGCCCCAGAAAGAAGCCAAGCTGCATATAGATCCATATAGCATTTTAAATCCAGATTAAAACAGAAAGATAGGGCTTATTTTAAAATAATAGCATACCTGCAACACGCGAGAGGCAGTGGTTCTAGCCTTGTCATAATCTTTCTTCACGAATGCGCTTGCAAGGATTGTCTGAAAAAGGCAGAAACCAGTTACAATCCACTATGTAAAAAAATTTAAAATGAGAGACAAGAGGAAGTTTGATCTAAACAGGGACACACATGATTAGAAACTGGTTTAACATAAATTAACAAAAAAGAAGACATTTCGGTATCCCTAGAAGCTGTTGCAGTTTTTACATGTTTATTCTAATTCCCATCACTGCCTGAAAACAAAATCAATTTGTGAATAGAAAGTTTACACAGGTACATGCAAGAAGTCAATCAAGCATATATTCAAATAACTGCAAAAGAAATATAAAGATATCTTCTTTACTAATAGATTAAGAAATTTATTGAAAACTAAAAATGACCATAAAGGAGGCATTGCAGTATAAAGAACTCCAAAACTAAAAGGAGCAATGCTGCATATGCAACTTAGAGAATGGCAAACTACGAGACAGAGGCTGCATTAAAAAATCTTTAATGTTTTATATACTCTACTGGGGCCATTATCAAGCTCTGCTGAAATAATATTAACATTAAATCCTAACTATTCGGCCAGCCCTCAGTCTAATCATGATCTGAAAAATTCCATAATGTTGTAAAATATCTTTAATCACTGATGCAAGCTCTTGATATTTACTTCTGAGGCCAAAAGGACTACATGAAATCCAACAAAGAATTATTATTATTGAAAACAAAGGAACTCCTAAGACCCAAGGAAATTTAGAACCTGATAATGTTAGTGAAGTCTTGTATATGTTTCCACGCTAAGGAATTATTACTTCAATCACAGTCATGAAACTTTCATACTTCATTAAGATGACACGTCTCCTCAAGGAAAAAACTTGTACTTGCATTACTTTCTTTCTTATTTCATTATGATCCTTAAATAAAAATTAATCTGTTTATTTTGTTTGGCCCTATATCATATCAGGTTCTTATGCTGCATAATTGATAAACCAAATTTTCTTTTCACAGTGCATTGATGAGTTTCCATTCTAGACAACCAAAAAGATTTTCTATTCACTAGGGGGATATCATTCTTACCTGTGCAGAAACAGCGAGTCCATCTGCTAGTAAAGATGTGGCCAGCCAAATCTGCAAGCAAATCTGGAATGCAGCCATTGTTGTTGACCCCTGCCTTGCAGCCAATGATGCTGCCAGGGTCACACAAAAAGTGACAGCTATTACCCTTACCATTAGCAGAAATCCTGTATTAAGGCATGCAAAATATAGTCACACTATGAGATTAGTAAATAATGTCTTGGTCTGAGTTGCGATGATAACTAGAAGATTATGTGAAGAGAAAATTGTAAATACTTGAAATGTAAAAATAAAAGACAAAAGGAAAAAACGAGGGGAGGTGGAGGAGAAAACAAGTTAAAACACCAATTGTGTTCACACTGGGCAAAGTTCAGAATATATGTAGTGGCCTGGTTATACAAAATGAGCACAAAGACGAACTGCTAGAGGAAAAGCTATAAGGTAAACTTTAAATTTAACATCAGCTGACTCTTATTAAAGAGAAAAAGCACTGATTTATGTATAAAATCTGGTATTTATAACTTATGCCAACCAAGAATAACTCTTATGAATATATGTCAACTTGAACTTGCAACTTATCAGAATATGACATTAACGTTGTCAGACGTGCTTCTCAAGATAGCCTATTACTTAAGATTTCTTAAGTCGTGATATCATATACCAATAAACATTGAAATAGCTACACTATATAGTTCAAATAAGTGTTTATTCATTATTAAGGATATTTTACAATTAGCAAAAACATATATTCTTTATTCTCTGAATACGGAAGAAAGGTTAAAGAGAATTTTAACCCTCATCACTTTCAAGAAGTATGGAAGAAAATTGAAATAGAAAATATTTTTATTACTAACCATTTTTAAGAAACCGATCAAATTGTAGATCTTTGAAACTTTGAGGCAATAGATCAATATTTTCAATTAATTTCCACAAGAGTATTAGGGAAATCAAATACCTGCTCAAATGCACACCAACAATAACCAGGGTGAAGACATTAAGGTATTTTAAGAAATAAAAATCAAAGCATGACCAAGGAGTCAGAAATGAGAAAATTGGAATTGTGTCTGCAAAAAGGTAGAACTTACTGGGAAATAACATGAGCAATGGCGGCGCCACTGACGCCCATACGGAATACAAACATAAATATTGGGTCTAATACCACGTTTGCTAGATTTCCCACAGCTACATCAAAACCAAATTAGATGAAAATGAGCCACAAAGTAAATTTGTATTATTCTTTATTGTTTTAGAACATCCTCAGGAAAAAATGATTCCATATTGTACTGAATATAAATGCATCAGCTGGAAAGGAGATATTGCCAGTGAAGAAAGTGAAAAAAGGGGATCGCAACACCACCCCGGTTCTTGAAACTATGATATTTCAAGCGCAGTGCATAAACGTGTATCAAATTAATATTCAAAACAGAAAACAATTTCAATTCCTAGAGCATAATGAAATGACTTCCTTTGTGGGGTTTTCAAACATGAATTTACAAGTCACCTTTGTCAAACAACAAATCAAAAAGTTTCCAAAATGTTAAGAGGGGAAAAAGACTTGAGGAAAGAAGGCTTTGCTTACTGGTTGCATATAATGGAGTTTTAGTATCCTTAAATCCTCGAAAGATCCCTTGCATGGCCAAAGAGAGAAGAAGAGAAGGAGCACCAAGTGACCTCAATGTCAAGTATTGTTGTGCAGGCTTTATCATAGGAGAATCCTGCACATTCAGAAATTCCCTACAACCATTATTCCTGATATTAGTATGAGAAGCTAATAATAGTAACCAAGAATATCATATCAACCTTATCAAAAAGATAAATCATTAGAATACTTTGTCAAGAAAGAACTTGTCCATACAAAAGGGGGCCTCAAGGTTCTGCGAATATAGACAATAAAATACACAAATAATGAAGTAATACACATAATTTCAAAGTGGCATTCCAAAAAGAACACTCACAGAGTTAACACCCATATAGTTTAAGATCGGTTTGGCAGCCAGAATGAGGAATAAAGCTTGAATGAGCCCAAGCACGGTACCGATAACCATTGCCACAGAAGCTGATGGAATATGCCTTCTCTCATGCTCAGTTTTTGCCCTCTGTGTATAAATAGGGCTTATGGATGATGTCTTGCATGAAGGTTCTGGTTATTAAAATCACACATCTAAAAAATGTTAGAAGTGATTATCACAAAAAGGAATACGAGGAGAGTTAAAATGGAACTTTTATACATTTGACATTTGTTTGAGAATGCTATCAACCAACACAATTAGCAGATGATCCCTTCAACAACATATGAGAGAAAAAATAGGAACAATATACCAACTAGAGGTATCAGCTCTTCCATTTCCTTATTTACAGCAAAACCCTCCTCAAGATTTTCATCTTCTTTTGCTTCTGCATTCAAATTTCCAATAGTATCTTCCTCAGCAACAAAAGAAGTTGTAACACTAACAAGTGGGAATATCATAATCCTTGATACTTGATTGAAAACAGCAATAGAAACTCCTACAGCAGCAAGCTCCACAGGTCCTATATAGACAAATATTTGAAACAGAAACCAGATAATATATCAAGTACTGACTTACTACTACTTATGGATTATAAGTTATTGATAACTTTATTAACTAAGACAAATGATCAGCAAGTTCCATGTAGGATGTCTACCCACTAGTGCACATTAATCAACTATACCAATCATACAGAGAATACAATGAAAAATTGATATAGCAGAAAGTCAAAAGAAGAGAAACATATGTATATGACCTTGTGTAGATACTTAAAAGGCATTAGCTCTGACAAAAAGAAATTGAATTCCATAAAGCAGAGACCCAGATCACGGTTTTAAGAATTAGATAGATCCCAATCTAGTCAATATCATGTCTTCATTCATAATTGTCATAAAAAAGATTATTGCAGCAAAAATATACATGACATACTGCTAAAAGGAATTATATCTTAGTTTCGTAGGGATACTCTTTTTATACTTGTTGTCGTAACAACCACAATTCAGAATTTCAAAATAATTATAGTTCCTGAACTAGTATCTAAAGACATATTTGTAATACTATTCAAGACAATGCAGTTTTTATTTTGTTATTCTTTTTTAACATTTCAGTTTCATGCTTTTTTTTTTTTTTTCCTCTCTTCCAGATAACATATTATTTATCACCATGGAGTAATAGGAATATGGTTGTTACTACAATGCAACAAGAGACCGGAAAACACTTTAAGAGTAGAAGCATCATTTAATTCAGATCTTTTACAAGGATAAACAGCATCATCAGAAAGAAGTATTATTTCAGCATATTTCATTACCATATCCAACACCATGATCACAGAGGTCAATTAAGCATCAAACAAGCTGCAGCTTTTCTGGAACAAAGATGGATATGATAAAAACAAACCTATGTGGCCAATGAATGCAGTGTCAATCAGGGAAGCAATAGGGTCTGCTGCTAAAGCCAGTGTTGCAGGAAGCGCAATCTGTGCTATTTCTAGGCCGAGCTCATCCTTCTCGAAGATATTCCTGGCCACCCATTGTGGATTTATACTCATTAGTTACAGTGAATTATTATGACTAATTTTTAATTCTGATAAAGATAACAAAACTTAGGGGCGGTCTTAATCTACAATTAACCATGAAAAACCTGTAAGGATTTGCCTGCTATATTACACACAACAATTTTCTTATCTGAATAAATGAAATTCATATTAGGTGAATAAAATCGACAAAATTCAAATGAAGATTAACATTTGATATAATCATTCATCAATCGCATATAAACCATAATAACATTTGGAAAAGATAAAGAAAGGACAAAGCAACACTACCATCAAGCAACCTGTTAAAAATTAGTGCATTAATTAATACCTTGAGTTCTTGAAGAATACCAGGAGGGGCTTCTTACCCACATTCTTCAACAGATTCAGAATAGCATCTGTAGCCATGATTAAACAGTGGCTTGATAGAGAAGTTTCAAAAGAGTGATTGTATTTGTAGTATCACACAACCACGATAAGAAAAGTTCTCAAATTGGAAAACTTCAACTACCAAAGATTGCTAATACGTATCAAGGAACAGTTCAACAGACAAGTTGACAGAGAAATGAAAGCAGGAACAGCCATCAAGAATCACAAGCAGAAATTCACTAGTAGTAATATAAAGAAAAAAAATCTTAAAATAAAACGAAAGTCCAATAAATGAAGAATGCTTAATGGAGAAGCAGTAGATCTCTACAAAGAAGTGACTTCGTGTTCAACTAATCGTTCTGCCCCAGATGGCCAGATACTGCATGAACCTCCCTCAGTTATAGTAAGCTGTCAATGCCCCAGTAGAACTAATATAATTTATTATTTTTCATTCACTTAAAGACAACAATTAAAAGCAATAAAGAACAGATACCAACAGTCATAGAGGCCCCACAAAATCAAGCGCAACACAAGATTGGAAAACAAACCAGAAGACCTCGTACACGTTGATAGCAGGATTCTCAAGAATTGTCCCATGAGGATCAACCTTCCACGCAAACAGGGCAAGACCAAGGAGCTCGTTATTCAGTACCGTTAACTGCAATTAAATAAACTTGGATTATAATACACACTTTGATCTAAACCAATATAATTCTCATAGAAAAATCCCCACATTTGACAAGGGATCTTTTTCATATTTTCTTTTGAGTCGTATGGTTTAAGCTTATTATTTCCGTGTCATCAAGTCAGGTGTCACATCCCCGGGACCATTCATTTTACTGGGTATTTTGTGGTAGAAATACTTCTAGTGGAGGTGGTTGTAAGTTGTGACACAGCACACAGGTACGGTATGTACCAGGAGTTTGATTTGAGGGATAGCTAATTCAGCAAACAATAATGTTTTACTTATAACTTAATCATAAACTGAGTCATATAAACAGATAAAAATCATACAAAATTTATGTAAAATATCTATCTTATCATTTGTTTTTGTTTGTTTATATGACTCATTTGTACAATAAATATAGTATTGCTCTTCAGTTAACTACTTGCTTATTGCCGCAATTGGCTTTCTGAATACAAGGTCAATGCATCCGATTTGGAAGGACACTTCCAAGAAAAAAGCTTACTTTGTTACTAGATCAGGAAGGCTTCTTTTTTTTTTTTTTTTTTTTTTTTAAAATAACCCAGAATTTCTCTGCACCTACTACTGGACTTGAGTTCAAAGCTGGGTCTCCGTTCCAATCCGGCTTAGTGGTTCGCAGAACCATTGCGATCAGTCAAAAAGATATTAACGTGGCACCAAAGTAACAGAGCACGTTTGACACATGCAAAATAAATGTGACAAAAAAGAAAGCAACATAGCAAGAATCCTGCCAAATATGCATTAGATTTTACTCATTGTGTATGCTGCCAACAGCGTGACATATATATATTGAAAACCTGTGCATATGGACATGAATTTGTTTCGTGCGAAGTTTCAGTGTAGCAAATATGTCACTGGACACACATCCTGCGTTTAAACATAGTCTAAACAGCAGAATGGAACTTTAAGAAAGAAAGAGGGCCACAAATACTTCAAATTCTCTCACATATGGATCTTAAATACTCTCAAGTCATTCTAAGGAATAAGGCTACAATAATTCCTTACTATTTTACTATCTGTATAAAAAATTTGGTCAGAGTACAAAATTGATTTTATAATTTATTCACCAATAGTCACCACATGAACATTTTCCATCCTCAAACCGATGGAACCGGTTGTTATCCCTCACAATTATTACTCTTCTAGAACATTTGGACATAAATTTAATTGCTGTGTGACAATCACCACAGATTCGCAAGTTCTTCATAACTCTTATAGGCCTATCAGGTGGGAATGTAATCATCCCAAAGGCAATAGCTAGTCTCTCACTATGATATCTCATTGACTGACTCTTTTCTTCACCATCCACTTCTCGCAAAACAAAACTTGTATCTGCAACATAACCAGCTCTTTCCATTTCTTCCCCCAATTCCTCTAACTTCTGATAAATCTCTTCTGTTCTCAGGTGAGATCTATCTCCTGCAGCAAATGTATGAACTCTGTTTCCCTCCTCAACCCAACTCAAACCAGTTTCCTTCTTCAACCCTCGGTCCCTGAGCATCTTCCTAGCTCTGGCGGCATCTTCCCATCTTCCAGCAGCAGCATAAGCATTAGATAACAGCACATTCATGCCTGAGCTCACATCCCCCATCTCAAAAGCCCTATCCGCAGCATAGGCAGCCAATTCAGTGTCACCATGAACACGACACCCAGTCAAAAGTGCTCCCCATACAGATTCTGTTGGTGCAATGGGCATTTTACTGATAACTGAAGCAGCTTCCTGCAATTTACCAGCACGGCCTAGCAAATCTACGAAAGAAGCATAATGCTGAGCTCCAGGCTCAATCCCATACTCTTTCATTAGCTCAAAGTATTTTTGCCCCTTTTCAACTAACCCTGCATGACTACAAGCATATAGAACACACAAAAATGTAATGAAATTTGGTTTAGTCCCACAGATTTCCATCTCTTTGAACAAATCAAATGCTTTATTTGTATGTGAGTGCTGAGCACACGCAATCAGCATTGCATTCCACATTCCAAGATTCCTAAAGGGCGCCTCAGTGAAAACCAGGTAAGCTGCATCAATAACTCCACACTTAGAATACAAAGAAACCAAAGAACTACCCACAAAACTCGATGACTCAAAGCTTGTTTTCACACACAACCCATGTATTTGCTTCCCTAACTCAAGCAACGTAGAGTTACCACAGACATGTATCACACTCGAAAACGTGAAATCATTCACCTCTAAATCGTCATAAAGAGCTTGCTTGAACAACTTCAAAGCCTCCTCATTCACACCCAGTTGCGCGTAACCATAAATCATCCCACTCCAAGACACCACATTTCTCTCAGGCATTTCATCAAACACTTTCCTCGCCGTATTTATATCACCACATTTGGCATACATATCAACCAAAGAACTACACACAAACACATCAAAATCATACCCAGTTTTCACCACAAGTCAATGCACACTTTCACCAACATCAAGTCTCCCCAAAATGGCACAAGACTTAGTCGCGCTAGGAAATATATGGTCATCAGGAAGAGCACATTCACCAAGCATTCGACGAAAGTACTGAATGGCAAGACAAGGAAGCTCGTTTTGAGCGAATGAGGAAATCACCGAACTCCAAGTATTGGCTGACTTAATGGGAGCTTCATGGAAGATTTGGCGGGAAAATAAGGGTAGTTGTGCTTTGGAGTAGAAGTTGATGAGGTGGTGGGAGACAAGGGGGATAATTTGGAGGCCTGATTTGATGATGTGGGAATGGAGCTGTAGGCCCTTGGGGAGGCTCCTTGAGCGGGTTAACGAAAGAAGAAGGGTGCAAATATCTCTGAAGGTTTGTCCAAAGCTGCATTGGTTTAAGGGGTCTTGCGGGCGTTTATCAATTGGGCGGCTACAGGGCGGTAGTGACGGTGATGGGAGCATTAGATGTTCGTAGAGTCTTCGATGGAACTGGGGGCTTTAAATGTTATTCTCGTTTCCTTAGCGTCAATTCGAAAAAGAGTTGGCTGCTTACAAATATGTATAGTTACTTCCCTTCCCACCGTTCGGGGTGGAAAAAAAAACCTGAAAACCGAACCGGATCGATTTTTTCGGTTTCAGTTTGATTATTAAAAAAAACCGAAAATCCAGTTTGGTTTTCGGTTTTTGGCAAAATTAATTCTGGTTACCCGGAACCAGTTTTCTAAACCGAATTTTTAAAAAAAAATTATGCATTTTACGTTTTTGATTTTGCAATCCCTAACAGTCTAACTTGTCTAACACCATAACTTAAAGTCTTAAACTCACTACTCAGTACTTAGTATACTCATAACTCACTACTCACGCACGCCGCAGCCGCACGGTACTCAGTCTACTCAAGTCATTACTCAAATCAGACCTCACTCACCTCAGTAACTCTCGCATTCTCTCAGTCTCAGTGACTCAGTCTCTGTCACTCACTCTCTCTCGGACTCTCACTGTCTCTCAGTTCTCAAATCTCTGTTCTCATGCGGTCACGCCTCAGCCAGTAGCCACACAAATTTCTCACGTTGCTCACGCCACCAGTCTTTGCTCACGTCGTCGATCTTTAACTCAACAGTCGGCAGTCACCAGTCACAATCAGCCAGTCACCATTCTTCTTCCTTCACGAAGCCGTTGGCTCACTACCGTCGCCGTCTGGGTTTCCCAGGTCCCTCACACGTGCCTACTGCGTGACCTCAGCTGCAGTCGCCGTCGTTGCTCCAGCCTCCACGTCGTTGTCTGTTTCCGGTGGGTGGCCTCATCTCTTTGCTTTGTATTTCTTGGTGCAAACGAAAGGTTGTTATTGTACGAATAAATGATTTCTCCACAAACAAAAAGCCATTCATCAAGCAAGTTTTTTCAATTTAATTAATTATTTGTTTGTGTGCATTTGTGTATATATAGATAAAATTACGAAATCTAAATATGGTGATTGAACTCATCACTCATAGCGCATGTAACACACAACAACACTTTTGTATTTTTTATGGAGAGGGCAAATTAAATTTCCCTTTTAATAACATTCATTTATTTATTTTTAATTAAAATAAGTTAATTCAATAAAATGCTATATTACAGTAACATTGTCATGGTAAATAATTGGATTCAACTCTTTCTTTCTTGCGAACGTTGGTATATTTTTATTATGGAAAGAGTTGATAATAGTCCAAATTACGCATGAAAAGTTGTTCAAAATCTGCACCCATTCATGATTGAGAAACAGGCTGTTAGGGATGCAGCCCATAAGTGGAGTGTGACCGAATTGGGCCGAAAAATACAGCTCATAAGTGGAGTGTGACCGAATTGGGCGAAAAAATGCAGCCCATCATAAATCCTAATTAACCGTTTTTAAAACCGGTTCGGTTTATAACTGGTTTATAACCGAAACCGGTCCGGTTTCGGTTCAATTTATTTTTGAAATCGAAAATTGGTTCGGTTCAAGCTACCGGTTAACCAATTTTTTCCACCCCTACCCACAGGGCTTAAGAGAAAATGAACATTAAATAAATTTATAGTGCGGCCAAGTTTTGAAAAGTAAGGAAAAAAATAAAGGGTAAACAACTTTTTCCCACCCAAGGTTTTCCTTAATGACACTTTCCCACTAAAAAAGTTTTAAAATACCACTTTCCCACCCAAAATTATATTCTATTAATACCCAAAATACACTTTACTTTCTCAATCGGCTTTTGACGAGTTACTAGGAGCTAGGGTAAGTTGGGTTTTGTAGAGTGGAGGTCAATGGATTGAACGATAGTGATCGATTGAATATTCGCCCCCAAAATTAGCCAGAAATCAACTAAGACTAAGAAACTCTAGCTTTGCGGTGGTCGAAAATCAGCGAGGA